TTTGTATTTTCGTTGGTCGTTCGGAATCCTACTCAGTCTTGTTTTTTTTAATTTTTTAGTACATGGTCTCGGGCCAAATTTTGCCAAAAATGAAAAGTAGAGAATTCTCCATTTTTATTACATTTTCTGATACATATACATGGTTTAACAACTTACTCTAATTAATACCCACATGTTGTTAATCTGTTTCTTTAAATCAGATGCAGCTGGACTCTCTCCGTCTAGCTGAGAATTAAAATGGCGTCCAAAACTACAAACGGCCAGTCCATCAGAGAAGGAAGCCTCGCCTAAAGTAAAGTTCCAATTAGGACTTGGATAAAGATCTACAAGTGTAATCCCGACTATACAAAATGATTTAATTTGAGACTGAGATTTCATGTACCTAAGAAAAGAAATTAAAGAATTAATAATTAAGAATTTAGAATAATTAAAATCACCGTAAAACTAATAATAATAAATTAATTAATATTATTATTATATTATTACTTAGTCACGTCTCCCACTAGCAGCTGTTCTCTTTGCGTCGTTCGATGAACTCGTTTAGTAATCTTCTTCACTCCTGACAGCTCCAATGGAGGTTGATCAAGAACCACTTCCATTCCAGTGAAGTAAACTGAGCAGAAACCAGCCAATGACTCCAGCAGTACTGTCTCTACTTGAGCCATGGGATAGTCTGGAGAGGTATATGCTAAAGGTTGAAGGACAATGAGTCTTCTTTTTGATCTTTTTGGGTGAGCGAATTTGTAAGAACCAAAAATAACTTTCCATCTTTGATAGTTCTGTTTGTCTAGTATTGTAGTACCAGGTCCTGGTACTAGTGGAGTAAAGAGAGAAGAGCCAGTCATGTCTAGCATCCATTGTACAGGAGGCTCTAGCCTGTCTCGTCTCCTTAGCTCTTTCCTGTGGAGAAGAATTGGAGCAAAATCAGCTCTTGTCACAGCCGCCATCTTATAGGTGTGGTCAGTTATAAAATAATAAACTTACCCACGTGGTACCACGTGTCTCTAAAATTTTTGTTAAAAATAATTTTAAAATTCTAATGTCTATACAATCACACATAATTCAGTCATTTTCAAAAATAAAATATATAAACTAATACTATGACATCATATACAGTTAGAGTCGTATGGCCCCTCCTCCTTCAAGCAGTCGTAGAGAGAGCAGCAACAGAAGAGGCAGCAGCAGAGCAAACAAGAAGAAACACAAATAAACAAGAGGAGACTAACAGCAACTCCAGCAAAGAAGGTAAAGACACGATAATTGTAAAACAGACCAGGACTATCAACAAAGGCAATATATCCCTCTTCAATGTGAACCGATGAATTGGTAACGTACAAGCATGTCCTTTCATCAGTGATACAGAATGGACTGCATGAGCTTGTAATGGTACAGTTGTTAGTACTAGAGAAACCAGAGCAGACTTGAGTGGAGTCACTAGGAGCCTCGTAATTCACTGCACTGCCTGATACAGTAACTGAGAGTGTAGTGCAGTAGTTACTGGAATAATTGTAACCAACGAAATAGATACCATCGTCATTGATATGAAAGATCAGCTCAGAAGATAAGAAATCGTTTAAAGTTTCAAAACAAAACGAGGAGTTGTCGATGAACGTGGCCAGTCTATGATCTGCCGGACTAGAATCTGAAAATTTGTTTATCTCTTCACTGGAATTGAATAAAAAGAGGTTTAAACAATCATCAGGATCTGGTGGTTGCAAGACCGGATAAGGACAAACACTTTCATTTTGAATTGTTACATTAACAGCATAGACCAATCTTGAACCAGCCAGTAACCATATACCAGTAGTAATCCCCCTGTACTTAACAGACTGAGATATAACATATGAAGTATTCATTGGTCTCAAACTAAACGGACTCAATACTGTTGTACTAGTACTAGCTTCATCACAGGGAAAGGTGTGAACTGATAGAGGTGTGGTCAAGTTAGTTATTAATTCAATTTCCGTGGGATTGGTCACGTTTATAAAGTACTTAAAGTTAGGTTGAGTTAGTATCAGTGGGCGGGGTGAAGTGGAGGAGGACTGGGGCTGAATAAAGAAAGTTACTGAATAAGAAACGAGAGCTGTTACTAGCAAAATAGCGGAAACAAACCCGAAAATAAAACCTGTAAAATAAACAACAATAATAATAACAACAATAATAATAACAATAATAACAATAATGACAATAGTAATCAACATCTTTCCAATGAAAAGAAGAGATTATTACTTCACTAAACACTGCAGCTCTTTATCTCTAAGTAGTAATATACACTTACCTAGTATTATCTTTCTCTTATGCTCTAATAATAATAAAAATAAAAATAATAATAACAATAATAATAATGACAATAACAATAACAATAAAGAAATATACACTCACTTTTAACATCTTTCTTGATGTCCTCATCTTCTTTTCTTATTATTACGTCAGGAGGTTTTCTTCCTAAATAATAATAACAACAACAACAACAATAACAATAATAACAATAACAATAATAATAATAACAATAACAATAACAATAATAATAATAATAATAAATAATAGTAAACTAAATGCATTTAACATACCTCTCCATCTATTTCTTGTCACTGCAGCAACACATAAAGAAAGAGAGAGAGGGGGGAGGGGGAGGGGGAGGGAGAGAGAGGGAGAGAGAGAGAGAGAGAGAGAGACAGAGAGGGAGAGGAGAGGAGGTAAGTTATTATTAAGTTGCTACCAAATAAGGTAAGCTCATTCTCTACTATACTAACTGACAGCCAATAGCAAAGGATGTTTACTAATTCCTAAAACAGTACAACATCACCAGATACTAATAATGATAATCATGATAATTTTACACAATAATACTACTCACTAAACTATCAAGTACTTATTCTTGTCAACTGATATCTAAATATTATTATAATTACGTGTAAGCGTAATTTGAGCTTTTAGCACATTCAAACAGTTAGACAGAGCAATAGGGTAGTGTTTACGAGAGGAATCAGTACAAGTGGCAACCAGTAGACAAAATAATGGCAATAAAAACAAGCTTAAAATGATGTTAAGTTACTCAGTATGGGTATCATTATTTCAAGTCAATATTTGTCACATTATTGTTCACAGGTTGAGCTAGTACCAGCTCCACCAAACACAAGAATACATTAAAGTGTAACATTATGAATCACTTGCCAAATAATATCTGGCAATAATTAACACTAGCAATAGCTATGGTACGTCTAATAATAATAATAATAATTATTATTATTATCATTACTAGTACTTACGTGTGTTTGAGTTGTTAGAGTAATTCTCAATGATAGCTAGTTGATCTGGAGTGACGATTTCTCTCTGAAACATCATCATAACGAGATCAGTTATAGTATTAACGGTCTCGGGTGCTACTCCTAGATGATTCTCAATCAGATCATTGATCGCATCAAGTCTCGCTGATTCCTTCAAGTTGTAGAGTAACTCCACAGCTCTTAGTCTGCAGTCGACCCGAGGGAACTCATCTCTCATGCTAAACCGCCTCTTTCCATGATCCTGTAGAGAAGAATAGAGACTAGACTCGCAGGAGAATCGAGAGAGAACGTGACAAGTAAAAGATACTGCTCGTGAAGGATTGTTACGGAAAGACTCGTGATTGAAAAGTCCATCAAACAATTGGAAGAAGGTTAGGTCTCCGGCTCCTGATCCTATTCCAAACTCTAGCAGAGACAGTTTGAACAGTCGGACATAAGTGGAATCTATTTTACTGCTCAGAACAAGAACAGTTTCTTTGATATCAGTCTCGCTGCTTCGAGCCATCATTAGCTAGCTCCTGTGAAAGTAGGCGTGGCTGATAATGGGCGGGGCTTGTAGCTTAAAACAATAAATTAAAAATACTCATCATTATTGGCTAAAATTAAATTATATTTATTAGTATTATTTTATATTAAAGATTTTCCATTATAGCTAAAAGTCCAATAAGTACATCACTCTCTTCCATTTCAGTAACAGCTTCTTTGATTTCCCTCCACATAAGATCAGGATTCCCTTTATCCTTCTTGTCCATCCATTCTCTTAATACGCTACCCAGACACGTTAGGTCATCTCCTCCTCCAGCTGCTGGTCTACTCACGTCTAATTGATCGGCAAGACCCGCCCACCGAGATCTCATTGGCTTTAGTACCTTTAATAACTGAGGCAAAGTAGGAGCAGGGACACCTAATAATAATAATAATAATAATAATAATGTACTTTTAAAAGCTCATAAAAAATCCAATTTTGATCGGAATCAGCTTAAACTTTCTACACAACATAAGTACATGTATATGTTTCAGGAAATGTAATAAAAATTGTAAATTCTCAACTTTTCAATTTTGGCAAAATTTGGCCCGAGACCATTTCGTTCAATTTTGGAGAAACTTTAAAAATTTGTAAAAAATCTAAATTTGATCGGAACCAGCTCAAACTTTCTACACAACATAAGTACATGTATATGCATCAGAAAATGT